GAAAGTGAGAACTTTTCCTTCCTTTAAAAGATTGATATGTCTGCAGACCACACCATTTCCAGGAAAAAAAACAAAACAAGTAAACAAATGAAAATGGAAAACCTTCAAAAGCAAGATATTGAGAGGGAAAATTGGATAGTGTCTCAATACAGTTGCACCTTGTGTCTTTATGTAACAAGAGATACGCTTTTCTTTTTTCCTGAAACTGTCTTAGGCTTAATGGCAGGGATTATCACTTTTAACACACTATCCTAGCAAGTCACATTCTCATCCCCGAAGATCATACTCCTTTTGGTCAGCGCCAAGAATCGCGACCTCTGGGGCTGGTCCAACACCAGAAGTCGATGTCCGGCCAGAGGTTGCATTTCTCGGTGCTGACCAAAAGGAGCGCGGCCTCTGGGGACGAAAATGGGCAAGCCACTGACTGGGTGTTACTTGGTTTGATTTCTGAACTTCTGTTGCAGATAAAAAAGATAATACAAGTGTTGCTAATGGAAAAGTTAAAGAGGAGCCGGTATGTGTTTAAATTTGTATTTTAATTTACTTATTTCTTTTTTGTCATCGAGAAGTGGGATACAGTTAATTCATACAATTATCAAGAGCTAACCACTGTCAAGTCTGTGATATTTTAGCTAACCTGAGTGCTATTTAGGCTACCTGTAGTGACATTTTGTCATTTTGTGTTTTGGACCTGAGTTTGAAACTAGCATCCTCCTAGGTTTTTTTCCCCATGGTCTTTTTTTCCTTTTGTTGGATAAACATATGTTACCAGTAACATAAAGAATAATTAACTTGCTCTTTCAAAATTTTCATGTCTAAGATGGATGACTTGAGGAGAAATATTGAGCAGTAGTTGCATTGAGACCTGATGACCACAGTCTTACATGACCACTTTAAAGGAAAGCCTTTTCTATAAGATTGAATTACAAGTCGAGAGTAACATTTGATACTGACAGCCTGAAACACTCAACTTGCTTATTTGGAGGTCCAGCACACTAACTTCTAAGCCATAGCCAATTGAAAATTTAAATTTTACAGTTCTTGAACTCAATGGTCACAGCTAAGTCGAACATTTTATTTGTAAAACGAGTTAAGTATGAATGGTGCTTGGTGTTCTTTTGTGCAGCAGGAAGATGATGATACTGACCCACTGGATGCTTTTATGGCTGATGTGAACAAAGAGGTAAAATATCTAAATGAATATGTTAGACTCCGCCAATTCTATCTTGGTTAGTTTGAATTCCCTATTATTTCTAACTCAGAACCGTTTTCCTTGGATTTACCCTTCAGTCATTTACTATCAGCTATTTCAAACTCCTGCTATTTCAAACTATTTTNATTCTATCTTGGTTATTTTGAATTCCCTATTATTTCTAACTCAGAACCGTTTTCCTTGGATTTACCCTTCAGTCATTTACTATCAGCTATTTCAAACTCCTGCTATTTCAAACTATTTTTCGATTCTCCTGAGAGTTTGAAATAAAGGGGTTCAACTGTACATTAAAGCTTTTGTTTGATCAGCATTTTTTCATTGAAAAAAAAAAAAAAAAGATTGGTCACCTTTTAATATCATTCAACAGGTGAAGAAAGTAAATGCGCTGGATCAGAAGAAGAGAGTCGGCAAAGCTGGGAAGGCAACAGTGATACATCATGTCGTCACCAAAACCAAAAAGAGGGTAAGATACAAACTGTAGTTTCATCTGTAGATTTAAAATTAAGAAGTTCCACCTTGAAGAACAGAATAAAGATTACTATCTGAAATTACTAAGCTTTCATGAGGATTGTCACAAACCAGGGTCTAATTCAGTGAACAGAAAGCTTAACGTAGATCGACCACTTTGTTCAGTGTAATAATCAAAGTACTGCTCAGTAGGTCACATGTTGAAAGGCCATGCACGCACTTTAGGTTTCTGTGGTACACAGTTTTAAAAATAGGAACAAGGCTGTGCTCTAGAAGCACGTGGGTGTCACCAGTGACTAACTTTTTACCTTTGGGTGACTGGAAAAACTTACTTCTCTTGAAATCATACAAGCTCAAGTGCTGGGCACCCAGGATTTCATGGTTAGGAACCTTTGGGTTAGTGCATTGAGTCTTCTTATATTTTTTTCAGGATCCAACCAAAGGTGAATTGATGGAAAATGATCAAGATGCAATGGAGGTCAGCACCATAAGAGACTAACATTTATAATGATTAGATGTATTTTTGCATAATCAAAAATTGATTGTTTATGGCTGTTGAATTGACCATTTTCCTCATACTAATGACAGAAAAGTGTTCTCAGTTAATAACTGGACATGCAGGTCAAAAAGAGTGAATTGTGAATAGTTCAGGACAAAAAAGGGGCAGATTACTTTCAGGAAACCCTTTTTCTTAGACATTTCTGACATGTAAGAGGTCCAAAACCTGAGTCTAAAACTTACAACAGTTATAGGCCAGAAATTACTGGCATTTCAATTAAATATATTTCTTGTAAATGCCTTGCAAAGTTGCAAAAGGGTCAACATTAGAGGCTAATATCACCCAGTTATGCTTCCTTTCAGCAGTACTCAATATTGTGTAAGTTATACTACTTTCAACCCATGCATCACCTTGCTACAAAAGTATTGTTCCCCAGAAACCAAGTGCAGAGAAATTTGACAAGTGTATTTTTTCTTTTTCTGTTAGTATTCGTCAGAGGAAGATGTGGAAGAGGAGACAATCGAGTCAACTTATGCACACTTTAAAACCAAGAAGAAGAAGGTGGAAATTTAGTGTTGCTGTTTTAAGTAATAATTCTCAAAC